CTCCCTCTATATATATATATATATATATATATCGTGAAACCCATTTAAGAATAAAAAGGTTAAAAATAATAGTATTGTGGTGTAGATAGCCTAATAAGACAATATGTTGGGTTTGAATAGGCAACGACAAAGAAAAAATATTCAATTTTACTATATTTGACAATAACTCTTCTCAATACCATTATCACCACCCTTCAAACTTAATAATAATAACTTTCCCTTAAACTAATTCTTAATAAAAATGGAGAACTTTCAAAGTGAACTCATTTTTTAAATAAAAATTAGAAAAGAAAAGACATGAAAATTTTTATAAATAAAAAAGTTGTAACTTTTAAAACTTATCACTAAACACTATCTCAAATGGAATCAATTCATGTCAAGTCTTTTCAAGTTTTAGTGACTGTATACAAGCTTTAATAAGTGAAAATTATTAAATGTTATGGAAAGCATCGAAAAAGTATTTGTAAATAAGAAAAATTATATATTCTTAATTTACGAATATAATTTAATTTTTTATTGTCAATTTTAAAATATTATATGAATTATATCTCTAAACAAAAAAAAAACAAAATCATATGTGAACATTTTTTTCAATTGAATTATATATTTACTTTTAATTAATGCTTTAATTGATATTTCATGTTGATTTTATAATTTTTGTAACGTCCATGTTTAGGGTTATTAATGTTTTATTATTGCCATTACGAGAGACCACATACAAATTAACTAAAATGTCAATAATGAGATTGCACATAAGTTGACCTTACTTAGTTAATTTTCACATTATTATGACTTCGAGTAAGTATAACTTAAAAATGTGAATATAAATATAATAATTTGTTAGCCAAACATCACCCAATGTCATTTCTACTTTATCACCCATCCAAGTAATTTATTTTTTAAATTGTTAATTTGATTTTTACAGACATTCATTTAATTACAGTCAGCTTCATGAATCACGATGAGCTGATTAAACTACTTTTCCCTGTTTTGCATGAAGAGGGTTATTCATACTCATCGCAATGCATTACCTCGGAGCACATTCTATTTGCAGGTTCGCTAAAGATACAAAGTGAGAAACCCAGAAAAGCATACAGACTAAAATAGGAAAGAAAATATCTAGGCAATAGTTATCTCAGAACAAAGGAATCACATAAAATAAAATAAAAATCCAAAATCTGGCAAAACAAAATTGGATCAGGAGTTAGGTCCAATCCTGATTGCGGTTGTTATAATATTTCCTACTAATAAAAAGAAACGCTTGCAGAAAAAAAAATATATCCAGACTACGTCAAAAAACATTGGAAGCTTCGGGAAAGTATTAAGATTCTATTATATATAATAAATAATAAATTATTCAAGAACATTCAGGATGTCTTCAGGTTTCATTTATTAAAGAAGCTAATTCTTGACGAAATGTTGCAATTTTGTCTACTTCAACAGCCATGACTAATCCCGTTGCCCTGTAATTTTTCAGCTGTAACAACAGGCAAAAACAAGAATAGACAGTTCAGAATCATTGATAAAAGAGACTGCTATCCAGGTTGTAAGATGGGTCATGAGCCTCACTTATATATATATTAATTTGGTCATATCATGTGAAATATTTACGCATTTCTCTAACGTTAAGAATTGAATATCTCAAATATGATATTTGCGAGTTGAGACTACGCGTAGTCCAATAACAGTCTGGTAATAATCGTTAATATCGACTTACTAATGCTAGCTTAGAATGTGAGATTTTAGACTTAATTCAATCTTACAAAATCAACTAATAAGATGAAAACTGTCTCTTACTTATATAGATAAATTTGACCATATCGTTAGATCTCTAACATATTACATCTTAAAAAAGAATTTAAAAAAATTGTTTGCATTTCCTGGTTAATAATTTTAAATTTTAGGCCCCTGTATTCCTTAAAAAATGCAATGTAGAGCCTTTTTTATTTAAACTAAACGTAAGCTAATTAAAGTTTGTTGTAGCCTATCTAATCCTGATGCTATTATGTAGCAGCGGAGAGAAATGAGCCAGTCAATCAAATCTAACGGTACCAAAAATAAAATTCTATTTGGTATGAAATTTCTAATTGATTAGATTGTTAAACCGAGGCAACTACAATTAACATGATGTCTAATAACCCTAGCGCGTTTCCCATAACAACCAAGCTTGACTAAGGTCCTCTGAACAACCAAAGAAAAACAATAGACAAACTTAAGGTACAGTCAACTATGCAATCCGTAACACTTCACCTGAATTCGGGAAGTGCATATGAATCCAATACCAACTTGGCGAATGAACCTCGAAACTGAGTAGTTGCAAGAGCTTTGAATTTAGGAGGTTTGCTAGTAGATGCTGTGATTTTACATGAATTAACAACCAGAACTGGAATATTCACGAATAAAATGGTAAACTATATCAACATGTGTTGATCGTCCATGAGTTGTAGGATTAATGGCCAAAAGGATGGCTGACTTTATCAGAAAATAAACAGTTATGTCTACAGAAACTTGAAAACTTTTAAGAAGCTCATATCCATAGCATCCACTTGCCACACAAGCTAAGGCTCTATACACAGTCTCAACCAATGACCGTTAAACAGTAGGCTGTTTCCTAAATGTTAAGTTAGCGACTCACCAAGGAAGACAGAAAACTATTGTGGAACACCTAGAGTCAGGATAACTTCCCCCAATCAGCATCCACAATGGCAGGATGTTTGATAGGCACCAAATTCCTACTACGAGGATGTGCAGTAGCAAAAATAAGCAGGAGATTAAATTATAACTATACCCTGAAATCCTTGTAACAGAATAACCAACTGATTTATTTAGTTATAGAGGTATGGGGTGTATAAAGGGAAGAAGACTATGTAAGGGAAATCCTTTTCAGATAATTTTCATTGATAACCCCCTCAAACTAACTGATATCCAACCTAACTTTTTCTTCCCTCTCTTGGAACTAATAAACATACCCCAATTTCAAATCAAGCTTGGAAAAGAAACAAGCCTTGTGCAATTCATCAAGCACTTCATACACCACAGGAATTGGAAACTTGTCCTGGACTGTTCCCCCACTAATGGAAAAATAATCAAATGCACATTTGCCACGTGGAGTCCTCTTTGTTCACTAGAGTTACAGGACTAGGATAAAAACTAACACTATGCCATATTATCCCCAAAGTCAGCATCTCTTTCACTTGATTCTCCATTTCTCATTTGTGGTGGTGAGGATATCTATAAGGCCTCGCACCAACTGGGTCCTGCCTAGGTTTAGGATCTTGATAACCAGTGTGGCAATACCCTAAGAGCACTGGTTAAGAAATTAATAAATAGAATATTTTTATTGGAAATAATGCTGAAGGTGCACAGGAAATCATGGTGGGAGTGCATTAATATTTTTAAAAAAAATCTTTCTACTTTTAAGTTTTAATTCTTTAATCAGTGTCCTTAAGGTACTAGTTGGGCTAACTGAATAACAGAAAACTAACTTAATTCAACTAATCAGTATTGGGCAGGGCACTCCTTTTATTTTATAAACAACACCCCATTCTCACGGAAAGACAACATGGCCAAGATCCAAAGAAGTAAACACAAAATGTATATTTCTCCAACAGAGGTATCACAATGCATTCTAAGTTATATTTAGAAATTGACCGGAAAATAAGTAACTTTCAGCAGGTTAATAAGAATATCACAATAATGGTCATTGAGATTGAAGAATTATAAAACTTGCCTCGTGAGGTGCAAGCTGCTGAGTTTGCAATGGAAAATTGAAGGACCATGAGCTTAACTGAAAAATATTTTGGAAAAGAATCAGCAATCAGAAACAAAACAATTCAAAATGATGCTAGAAAGTATCAATACCTTGTGAAAAATCTCATCCTCGGGCTTTACATATATTATCGCCTCATCACTATCATTGCTCAGTTTTCTTTTCTGATCTACATTCTTCTGCTATATTTTTAAACCCAAGTAAGAAGTAAAGCATCAGGAAACAATGAAAGTGGAGCGCAAAAAAATCATAACCACAGAAGCTAGAAATACACAAATAGAAAGGAGATAGAAAGTACAGCAGCATACATACCATGTAAATTTTGCTAAGTATTATATAATGCTTAAATTTAAAGGAATTCCGGAGCTCCTCCGTCGGCTGTTAAACAAGAAACAAAACAATTTAAGTTGTAAAGATAAAATCTAGCTCTAGCAGTCAAAGAGAAACACATTTGAACAGCCCCACCGAAGACATCTAACTAACCTCATCTTCGGTGGCCCAAGAGACTTCATCAAAAAGGGCAGCATAAAGATGTGGCAAAAGCTGGGGTGGAAGGTTGAGCATGCGCTGAGACACGAGGAGACCCACATCACGCGCTTGCTCCTCCAAAAGCAATCTCAACCGATCAGCAACACCCTTCTCTTGGCGCGCTTTACGGAGGAGAAAATCCTTGAGCGTCACAATACATCTATGCTCCTAGCAAAAGCATTTACAAGAGTTGAGAAAAGAGATGCTATTACTAAAGCAAGTGTGGCACATAAGTGAAGGCGAATTACCCTGTATCTATACAAATTAAGAGCAGTAACAAGAGCGAAGATTCCTTCATCCTCATCACCCTCTATCTTAACAACAGTCCCCACGGTGGTCTGCTCCAAAATCAAATCTACAAAGGCACTCAAATCCCATTCGTGATTGTCGAGGTAGGTTTGCAGCAAGGTCTTGACTCCGTGAAAATCGTGAGGTTTGGGATCGAAAAAGGAAAAATCTGCTTGGATGACTCCCTTGAAGTTGAACAAGACGCACACTAGTATTAGTAAATGTTGAATTGGAATAGATTAGGGTTAGAATTAGAGGTCTTACATCGGAACTTTCGGGGGAAGAGTCATCTTCGTCGGAAGAGTGAGAATGAGAGTGTTGGGGCTTGTTAATAGAGAGGGTGGGAGTAGGGTTTTGAGAGTGACGCTTTGACATTGTGATGCGAGCCAGAGCGAGAGCGCGAGCGAAAGGGGAGAATGTAATGGGCCACGACTTTAGCCGTTGGCGACGTCGTTTTGGCCTTGGAGGATTTTTCACAACCTCAGAGCGCATGGTGCGGCGGTGCGATGGAGACAGGGTTTGCGGCAAGGTCCTCACTAGAGGCACGTGTTATTACTATTTACTAATTATTTTATCTCAAAAATAAATAAAATGAACGCTTAAAAATATAATTTAGTTTAAATTTAATTAAATATTAATTATTACAGCATTTATTTAATATTAATTCATAAAATAAAATAAGACATCTACTAGTTGAATTTAAATGAATCCTAATATAAGATATCTATTATTTAATAATCGAATTAGGTCATGAGAAACATGTACTCTGACGCTTGGCCACTGAGAAACAATGAGCATTCTATTCGTAACTGTTCTCAAACACGAATTGTTGTCAAGTTTGTGAAGCAGTAAATAAACATCATTGAAGCTCCAACATTACATTTTTCAATCTAAATGAAAAATATATATAAATGAAAGCTTATGCCTAATGTTGTAATATAACTCTCAGAAATTGTAGATTACCAAAAAGCAAGGGAGCACAGCTCTAGGATTTAAAACAATGAGTTCTTCAATCTCTGATTGGTCAAGTATTTTCTTGACCAAAGAATCAAACCCAGGATCGGTCATTTCCTTGATCTCTTGAAGAGGATTATAGATCTTCCCAGCTATCACTTTGCACACCATAACAGACTTTCTCATGACAAAATTATTATTGGGTGTGATGCAAATGGAATCAATGGCTTTTGCACTAGTGGAAGTGGTGTAAACCCCAAGTGAACCATGAAATTCTTGGTTGGCGGAGAAACCATGCCTCAGAATTTGGCACACGCCACATTCATCTAAAGTGCAAAGGGTAGAAGAGGCATTCGAGCCGAGGGAGCATGCAATGGTTGTGCCATGAAATCTCAATAACTCGTTTCCATCGACCAAACATCGTGGGTGATCGTTTTGGACCCTTTCAGCTTTCACCCTTACCATTTCTCTACATTCCTCGAAGCAAGCAAAGGTTTCCTTCTTGTTCTCCACTCTCAACACACATTCAATCTTGCTTTCGGAATTCATGTCGCTACCTTGGCATATTTGTTCGATGATCTTGCAAGATGAGCTTTCTCTCTCAAGTTGGATCACTGCAACATGCACAGGTTCCATGTTAAATTTTAGTATATTTAATTACTTCTTCCAGAAATTATATTTTTTTGCATGAAAAACAAAGTTTATGGTACTGATTAATAAAATTTAAGATAAAATAACTTTATTTTTTTTATAAGTTAAACTTAATTTTATAAAATGTACCCTAATAAAACTTCTTCAAAAACTGATGTAGTGTCTCTAACTGTACTTAACTTTTCGTTTCATCATTTCATGTAGTACTAATAGTCTCTGGATTAATGTTTTCTTTTTACACCAATTTGGATTAATGTTAAACAATATAAATTCTTTTTGGGTATACTGAAAAGTTAAAAAACTCTCCTAGTTTTCAATGAACTTAATAAAAACATGATTTTTTACTCAAATAATTATTTATTTTAATTAGAAGATATTTTAAATATGAAATAAAATAATTTAAATGCTTTGTGTTATTATATACTATTATAGTTTCGCCTTTAATGAAAAACGTTTTTCGTGAGTTTTTTTTCTCTTATTTATAATTAATTCATGGAACAAAGAAGAAACCAAAAATGATATTTTTTCCATGTCAATCATTTAAAAAATTAATACAGTAAAGCATTATAAACTGCTTATCCAAACATGTTTATAAAACAGATGATTCTATAGTCCCACTCCCACACTACTTTTTATAACACTTTCTAAAATTTAGGAAAAAGATAAGAGAGAAGAGAACATTAAATTATATGACGGAGAGAGATAAAAATAATAAATTATGAAAATTATAAAAACTTGTTATCAAAATATTATTACTAAAATTAGATGACGGGCTCACCGGCCCATTAAGGCACGGCATCTAGCACTAGCAAAACAAAAAGAGGCCCGTTATCAGGGTGCATATGCTAAATGCTATTTTCTCTTCGTGCCCATGTAGGTAAAATATTGAGTTTCTTTTTAAAAAAAAATATGGAGTTGTTTTTTTTTTTTTTAAAAAAAATATTGAGTTGTTTAGAACATGAAACCACCGAGAACACACAATAAAAAATCTAAAATAAAAAAATATAATATTATAGATGGAAGTTACGACAAAAATGTAAAACGCTTTTACTTTAGTGAATCATAAATTTACTCACTGAAAGAGCAAGGAAAACCTATAACGGATACAGACAAGAGAATAGAAAGTTCAAACCGTGTTATGGTTACAAAAAATCACATGAAAATATTATTGTAAATGTTCCAACATTTACATAAATCTATACAGCTAATTTGTCATATGCCAGTGCCGAAAGTTTTCGATGGTAATTGGCCAAATTTACTATAGTATCGAGTTGAGGACCACATTTTATTATTATTTTTATTATAGATGGAATAAGATAGGCCAAATTAAGTGTGATAAAAATAATTTTATCTATTTTTTAAAAAAATATTTACTATATCATTTAGAATTCTAAATAATCAATCATAAAAGTAAAGAAAAAAACAAGTAAAAATACGACTGTTAAATTTTTTATCTTTTATTTCTTAATTTTATATAAACAGAAAATGTAAAACATTAAAGTGCAATAAAAATATAAAATACTAATAATTTAATATTTTTAATTATAAATCTATTTATTTAATTATATTGTTAATAATATAGATGGGGATGGGTATCTAGATTTTACCCCAAACAGGTATCGGGAGCAGGACCGGGACGATTTAAATTTGCGAGAGCGGAGGCGGGGAACATAAAACCCGCCTCCGCCCTGCCCCGTTGCCATGCCTACCTCTCAAATAGAGATGAGAATAGAATAAATAAAGTTCTAAATACATAAGTTTGACATCTTTTTAAAATTAAGATTTAAATTTCATCTATTATTTATCATAATTATTTTGTAAATTTATCCTTTTTAAAAATCTGATTTGATTTATTAACTTATTTAAAAGTCTATTTCATATTATTATTAAATTTCTTAACAAATTTAATTTTAAATAAATCAAAACTTTATTTTTAAATAAATTAACAAGTTTTTTTTAACAAATTTAATTTTAAATAAGTCATAACTTTATTTTTAAATAAACCAACAAGTCTTTTTTTTTTCTTTTTTACTTTGTATAGTAAAAAAGTAGTTTACTCCATTATTTTTAAAATTCAATTTTAAAAGAATTGAAAAACAATACATTAATGTCCCACAACACAAATTTTCAAAGAACTAATTACTAAAATATGATATGATGTAGCTCCATCTTCATATGTTATTTTTTATTATATTGTATAAATAAATAAGTTAACTTATCAAATCTAATAATTTTTTTTATAAACTTAAGTCAACCTCTTCAATTAAATAAACTTTTTAAAAGTTTAAACTTAAATAGAAGTTAGATATATGTTCTTTATTTAAAGTTTAAACTATTTTCATTCATATTTTTAACCCTTTCTCAAAGTATATTGGGGTTCTCTAAGTAAGCTATATATATTCATAGAATCTTTTATATAAAGAAGAATTGATTCACAAACCATAGACTTCAAACATATATATGATCTCTTACCTGAGTGTTCAGCGATATTATCATCATGTTGTTCAGCAAAGTCAGTAGATTGTAGTTTCTCTTCACATTCATGATGACGAATTGACGATGGGGGACCACTGGAACAATCTTTCTCCAGTGGCACCTTTGACTTTGAGAAAACATGACAATCAACACAATATGCTTTAGATGAATATATAATTCGCTGGCAGCAGGTTGATCTAGGAGGATGAGGCTTATTGCCATCTTCATGATCATGGCCTTGAGAACAAGGACAACATGGACAAATCATAATCTCACCGCTTGATCTATCAAGGAAAACTTCATGGCTAACACGTCTCTCTGAGTGTCTCTGGTTTTCCTCATTTGAACTGTCAATCTGGTCTATTTTTTTTCTCTGATGAGTACCTCTACTTGCCTTCGGATCATGAACTTCTGATGACTGAGGTTTGCAATGAAGTGATTTCTTCACAAGATGCCAAATCTCTGACATTCTCTTGATATGTTTTCTGTCACTTGCCAAAGATTATTTCATTACCACTGCTTTTATTATCCATATTCCAATTGCTAAGGCAAGTAAACAATAAGGAAACCAAATCATTATTGTTTTCAATTGCATATTATTGCCCAGATTGTTTTCTTTTGTTGGCTCGCTCAAAGATGGGAGGAAATTCATGGGGTGCAAATTTTTTTAACGTTTCCAGCTTTCTACCTGAGAAATGCAAATAATTTTAACGTTTTCATTTATTTATTATTTAAAACGTTAAGATTTTTCTTTGTCGAAATAAATTCATGGAAAGATATTATATTTTTTATTTTAAATCTCATGTCTTTTTTTTTTATTATAAAATTTAAATGTTATAATTTTTTTATTAGTTTGTGCCTATATAAGCATTTTTTTTCATGTATATAAATATTATACATACAGGTACTTTTCACTACAAATTTTATAAAGTGATAGATAAGATTAAAATATTATATAATATAAGTAATTTTATATTAAAAATAATTACAACTATTGTCACATTATTAATTTTTAATTTTTCTAAAATGTAATAATATAATAAATAATTATTTATATTTTATTTATTATATTAAAAAAATAATTAAAATAATTATCTAGTTTGTCTTTTGGAGGAAAAATAACAAAACAATAAATTTAAAAATGTCGATCTAAGATTGGACTTGGACATCAATTTAAAAGATAGAATAAAATTTGAATCTTTTTATCTCATTCTATTATAATTCATGGTTCATATTAAATTAAAGTAATTCATTTTATCAACTCTACTTTAAAAATCATTTGTTTTACTTTCTATATAGACATTTTTAACTCTCTTTTAATTCGTATTATTGACAAAAAAAATTCATGTTATTAATAGTGGATGATGTGACACTAATATAACATTGACATGTGTTGTGCTTTATATTTTACTTCTTACATCTATGTTATTTATACATTATGGTGCCTACATTCACTTATATATATATATTTTCATGTAGTCTTATATTTAAAATGTAGGGACTAAAAGATAAATATTGAACAAGTATAAGGAGCAAAGTGTACAAATGGTTCAAATATAAAGCGGCGGCACACATCCATGTCACATCAACAATACATCGACGCCACATAATCCACTATTAATGGTGTTAACCTTTTTTTTTTAATGCACAATTATAAAGATCAAATGAGTAATTAAATCAATAAAATAAAAAAGAGTATCATCTATTTATTCTAGTTATAGATAAATCAAAGTAGCAATCTTGAACAATAGTATTTTTAGGAACTATTCTCCTATTAGAACCTTTTTAGCAATTTTTTTATAGATATTTTTCTTAATATATTTTCTCTTTTAATATATCACTTTTATTTTTATTTCTAAATTAACTTTTAATAATTTTTAATTAAATTATCAATGATTAAAAATATTCTTCTAGAACAATAAAAATTATTTATCATAAATCTAAAATATAATTTATATCATAAAAATATTTTTATTGTAAATTTTAATTATATAAATAAAATTATTTTGTGCATTGCATATCTTAGAATACTAAGGTTTAATTACTTATTTACAAACTTTAATTTGTAGTTTCTACCCTTAAAAAATATTTTTTTAGTTTTTATATAAGCACTTTTAGTTTTGTTATGGTATCTGTATTTAAAAAAAAAAAAAAAATACTACTCGCAGTATACCTCATATTGTTCGAGAAGCGCATCTTGACTCTGCAACTTTAAGTCTCTCTGATTTAGGGTTAATAAGAATTTAAAAGAAATGTATCTGCAAAATAAAATAAGTTAGGAGGTGTTGATAAGGAAAAAGAAAATAAAGAAATAGAAGGAGGAAGAAAAAAAGGCCTAAAATGTTTTAAAAAAAACTGATCATACAAAGAATAAAATGAGTAATTTCTACGTAGAGACTAAAATTTAAAAGCTATGCAAATGTAGGAACTAAAGTGTAAAGTTTATATAAATTTAGAGATATAACAATAAGAATATACAGAGACTAAAACGTAAACACCGGTGCCACATCAGCAATACATTAATGTCACATCTTTCATAATTAACGATATTAACTATTTTTTAATGACAATGACTAAAATAAAAGCAACGGTGCTTATATAGAAGCTCAAATAAATAATTTTTATGTGTAGGACTAAAAAGTAAAGTTTACACTACAAGGACCAATTAGTTACACGAGGTGCTCCATCAATTTTGCAAGGCTTTAGACTTGCCAAATGCTCTGGGGTGGTCCTTTGCTAGATGTTACTTGTTTGTTTCTAATTTCCAGAATTTAAGCCCACAGAGATGAAATTCAGATTACAACCCAAAAAAGAAATCAATTAATAATAGGAAAACAACAATTCTATACGATAAACTACCATTTCAGAACTAGAAAACTTACAAACCTCTTGCGCCGTATTTAAGTATATCAATCCTTCTGAAATACTTCCCTAATTAACCAAAAAAACAATAAACCCTTCACTTACTTCAATATATGTGTCCTATTACTTTTTATTATATCTTAACAGAGCTTTCAATGTGATAAGACCGTATTTCATACTTTGATTCATGTTGAACAAGTATTTCAAGGCAATTTTTACTTTCTTGACTTAAAACAATGTTTGACTGAAGCATCACAAGAAGCATTATTTACTCGGTTGCTATCCCGACCAACCAGAAATCAAACAGACTACCTTAGATGGATCTCTCTAAAATTTAATTTCAGACAAAATAGAGACATACTTGTAACTGAATCTCTAAGGAAAAAAGAAAAAATCATGCGGATTGTATTAGGAAACATCAGTTATATTGCGTAAAATGCTAAAATCCATACTCAGTCAAAATCAAAAACTAGAAAAGAAATTCAACAACTCTCAAGCATGAGCCAATGCTTACATAGCAAAGAAAATTAAAACCTAATTCCAGAATCCTGTAAAAAGCATATACGTTTTAAGTACTGGGACCTCCATGCATGTAGTAAAAATATTGACGTTGAAGCATATTTGAATCATAGGAGTCATTAAGTTGAGACCCTGGTGGTGGTCCTGGTTGACGTGGTAAAGTCTGGAAAGTTGCATTGTACTGCAATTGAGAAGGAAGAGTTTGCAAACTAACATTATATGGCTGCATTGTTTGTATATTTCCATTGGAATAGCATGGTGAGGAATTATGGCTTTTCTGAGATACATCCTCCTCTAGTATACCCTTTTTGGGATCACAAGCCACAACACCAACTTGATTAGCCCAATCCACCATTCCATTTTTTCCCATTAATTGTGTGCAATTTGGACCAAAATGAAACATAGAAGATTTAGAACTTTGGCCAAGCTGAAATGGGTATAATGCTACTTGGTTGTTATCACTAGTTGACTTCATAGGATAGAAAATTTGTGCTTGAGACATGTTCTGCATGAAATTCATGTGACTGCCTAAATTTGAGGCCATGTAGGGAGTAAGTATCTCAGCTGTGTCTGATTCTGCTTTTGCTTTCCCCTTTGAATCTCGTTTTAACATGTTCATCCTTCGATTACAAGCATCAAGCTTAGCATCCAGAATACCAACAAACCTCCTCAATTGTTCCTCCCCAAGAGTATTGTATGAGTCGTCCCAAGTTGGATACATGACCTTGATCTTCGCTTTGTGCACTTTGGAAATCTCACCTTCAATCTTCTTCATCCTTTCGCTAAAATACTCTTCCACATCATACACCTTAGGACACCTATCTCTAGTGGTGTTCTGAAGTTTTTGAATGACACGTTTTATCTCTTCTGAGTCTTGGGGCCATGTTTCAAGTTCTTTAAGAAAGTCGGGGGCATAGATAATTACCCCAACATCAACCCCACAAAGAGTGGCAAACTCATAAGCTTTCTTCATTAATCCGTTCTTTCTCTTGTGAAATGTTGTCTTACGGGATTTCTCTTTTTCAATCAGCTTCATAGCTATTCTTCCACGAACCATTTTCTGGTATATACAAAAAAAGTGTAAATCAGAATTGTGGTTAATTAATATACTTCAACCTTGTCAAATGCTTCAAAACAACTTTCTTTGAATCTTGTGAGATATATTTCATTGGTTACATTTAACAGACATAAATGCTAAAATCTTCTTGTTAAAGAAACTAAATTAAAGAAATGAATTTTTTTTAAAGCCAAAGAAATGTCATCCATTTTATTTTTCATCCATTAGAATAACGTCGAATTTGAATTTAAAAATTCTACGCATATTATTTCAAACTTCCATCGTGATGCCGACTCTAATGTTTCAAATACATCCATTTTACTATATGCAATATATCGATGCAAGTGTCGTATCAAACATTATTGTCTCAAAAAGAACCTGCATATATCGATGCAAGTGTCGTATCAGACATTATTGTCTCAAAAGGAACCTTATTTCTAATTTCATAGTATAACAAGATTTTGGTATAACATACCACAACCTAATGGATACATGTATTCAACGAACAAGATTTTGGTATAACAAGATTTCTTATTTCCCACAAAAAAAACAATACCGCCATTTGCTTCGGTGCATCAAAAGAATTCCATAATTGGAACTGAAAAATCTGCTATGTTAGTTATTTCATCAAAATTATCAAGAAGAAAAAGTCATTCAAGTAAACCAAACTAATGCATGCATGTATTCAACGACATACAACATCAAATGACATTGTCTCACGATTCACGAACATTATAAAAAATAAAACTACGTACGTACTATGTGTGTTTTTCTTCAAAAGGAAGCGTACCTTTTTGTCTTTATTCCGTGACCTTCCTTATCCGTTTTGTGCACTGTCACTTTCTCTGATTTATATGAGTCGTCTCTTACGATTCTCTGTTTCTTTCACTTCTTATATATATAGCATAATGAGCCCTGAAATTGCTCTAATATTAATTTGATATATCATTCCCGGGATTCTTTGCTTTGTTTCTTTAAATTAGAAATCTGAGTTAGGTTAAACCTAATTAAGTCTAAAAATCCAGAACATT